GTTGAGTGTGTCGACATTGTCCACCACATGCACTAAAACGACAACAAAACCAACCAGGTAAGAATCTCTAGACTTGAGCCTCTCTCTAAAACAAATGGCTATACCTATGGTTGGGACATTTCATCTAAAGGGCTCCCTTACAGACCACACTTTAAGGACCATGGGAACCATCCACTATGGCCAAGACATACACAGCATCATAACTTGTTGTGACAATATTCTTGCTTTGTGCCTTTGCTCAAACCATCTCTACTCCCTTGTAGATCTGCCTTTCTCTGGATTCACACAGCACTCAGTCTAGAATTCACAATCTCCTACTGCATTATAAACTTAAATGTTGTATCACCAAGGATGCCACAGATCTTTCTTGGGTTTGACCCAGAGCAACCAACACAGAGGAGGCACATACCAGGCATCACTTGCTTAACTAAAACTCAGGAATGATTTTGTTGAATGCATGAGCCAAGGACCAAAATACATGTCTTCTGGTTAAAAAGGGGGGGGGGATTAAAATACCATGGTTCTCTAAGGCCCCACAGTATAGCCAGCCTTATTACTACAAGAATTTGAGGAGAATTCTATAGAAAATCCTTCTGCCACAGTTTCTACCTGAAACCGTAAGAGGCAGGTCCCCATTTTTTTTTCACTTATGAAACTCTAACAGATTAGAGACTGAGAGCTGATCTCCAGTTTTTAATTCTTGTCTCACCATTCATACATGACCAGAACCTGTCTCAAAGCATCACATTTTAAAATCACAAATAGTTCTCAGGTATCCCTTCACTTAACACTGAGTTACTTATTGAGTGTCTTCTATGAGGGTTAGTCTTGGTGATCTGCTTTGATCTCCACCAGGTCTTCAGTAAAGTTAGACAATTCTCTCATTCATCCTCAGCTGATTTCTTATTCCACCCACAAAGGCAGTTGTTCCAAACCCCAGAAGTCCCCTGAGTTTCCAACCAGTCCATGTCCCTTACTTTCTGCAGAGGACTTCCCCGCCCACCTTAATGAGAAAACAGACATATTACACGGACGTACTCAACAACCCTCCATTCCTCCTAGAGACTAAAGTCTGAGAACCACTGCTCTGCAATGACCTAGCAATGCTGTAAGTGCAAAATCAAAAGGCCTGCTGCTGACTTCATCATTGGGTCTCTCTCGGGCGTCTCACAGTCCAGGTCCCGTTTACTTTTCCCTCTTCCTGTGCCGAGTCGCCATACGTCTAGCAACATGCGACTCAGCCAGAATGGTCTCTGTGAGAAATTCTTGAACTCAAGCTCTGTCTTTTGGAAAGTATTTCTTTCAACAATTTGCACTGAATTCATTTTTTTCTCTATTGTCAAGGCCCAAGAAGTATGGCAGATCACCCACAGCCTTTGGCATAATGGCCATGGCCAGGAAGCCACTATCCCAACTCTGCATCCTGGGAGGCGCCCCACACCCACTGACTGAATTCTGAAGTGTCTTTGTGCAGACAAGGCCATCCAGGGGCCTTGATTGACAGACTCCGTAAATCACAAAGTGCCTTTCAGTTTCCCGTTGGCTTGACAGTACAGAGAGGCCACAGATTTGTCTTCTTAAATTGGCACACAATATATAATTAACAAACTGTTCCTTTAGGAATGGAGGGACTTATCCAAAAGAGCCACACATGCAGGAGCCTCCTTCTCTATTCCATGGCCTTTTCTGCTCAGACTGGGATGAATAAATATTATCTCATCCATTGGCTTCCATGACTGACAGGGCAGGTGACAGGCTGGGCAGACTGCTTTCCATTACTCCATTTTTCAAATCAGAGAGGTAGCAGCTGGCTTACAGGCACACAGCAAGTCCTAAGAGGCACTGCACTGCTCTGCCTTTGAAGCAAAGCAGAGCCTCAATATTTTTGGTCAGTTGCAAAATGCTGAATGTACGCAGAGGAAGAGGTCCTCTGTCAGCACCATGTGTTGAAATGTGAGAACTGCTCTGGGTGTCTTATGCTCAGTCTAGTCCCTCCCCCTTCTCCCTGCCAGCTCAAGTTCTACCCACTATCCACGGTGTTACCCAAGAGCACCTCCTACCTGGAACCCTTCTGATCTTTCTTTGGCTGGCAAACCTGGAGCTCAGAGACCAGCTTCCCTCACAAAAGCAAAATCCAAGCAAGCTCTGGAGGTGGAGGGGTTGGTAAGAACTAAGGGTTGGCTACCAATATGAGCCAGATTCTTATTACTTATATAATTAACACATTATAACAATAAATTAAAATATAAATATAATAGTATTTGCTACGTGCTAAGCACTCTGCTTGGCACTTTCATGCATCATTCCAAAGATGTTCCAGCTCTCCCTCCCCCATCACAGCTGGTCTCCACCCCCTCTCGCCACCTCCACCACTGCTGCAGGGGCCATCCTCTGGATCCTAGACAGAGCTTAGCTCCTCAGAATGACAAGACCAAAGGCCTTTCACAAAGACTCCAATGAGGTGACTGATGTCTGGATTCGTCAACTACAAGTGAATAATTAATACTTGCCAGTAAAGAAATAGACTCATTGTTATGGTGGCCACATGGAGGCTACAAAAGGCCATTTTGTGAAGCTCTTGGTGGACCCCTGGGGCCAACAGTGGTCCAAAGAAGCTTCTTTGAGAGTGTAGTCCAACCCCTAAACGTGGGGACTGGAGCCTTGTGCTATTTTCCGGGAGCACTGTTCCCAATGTTAATTAGCTTGTTGCCTATTCATCACCTAATTTGGCTTTCTGGTCAATGACAGCAGCAGAGGCCCACTGAACTCCCCAGAGGGTTCGATTTATCAGCAGGGACAAGCAGTGTGCTCCTAGAGCCTTTTACCGTTTTTTAAATTCATGTCTACTTCCTTTTCTGGGCCAGCCTCTGATTTGAGTAAAATTCTTCAACCATACTGGATTGTATACCCCACTCTTGGCCTGACGCCTAAAGCAAGGTTTTCCCTTTTCCCTTTCCAGCAGGGACTATAGCCTTGGGTGCTACAGAACCGGTCAAAACTGGCTACGAAGTATAATAAAGCAGCTTAGTGAGCAGGGAGCTAATGCCCCCAGCCAGAGGCTCAGTGTGCAGACTAGCTAGAGGCACTGGCTTTGTAAGCAAAAACACCACTCTTCTTGTGGCCTAATAACTGCCCTGGCAGATGGTAGCCAGCACGAATGAGTTACTAACTCTATGCAGTAAAGTGAGTAACTTTCTATAGCAAAGTTTCACATCCCACAAGTAGACACTGGGTGCTCAACAAATGCCCCTTCTAGTGACAGTAACCCCTGACCATTTATACACACACACACAAACAGGTGTACACTCTTACAGTGCTCCTGCCCTCAGGGCCAAAGCTGCCCGTGCCAAATACAGAACTGTCAGCTGCTAGATACTGTCATTTCAGGGAGCAGTTCTCCAAAAGAGCTCCCTAGCTCTCCACTCCCACTTCCAGCCCACTATCTGAAATTCCACCAGTAGAGATAGCAAACCTACATCAAATGGGAAATTCTTTGTATTCCCATTTTGCATTTTAGCTGCTTTTTAAGATAAACACATTCACTGGCTCCTTCCTTGAAAATGATTTTGACACTGGAGAATGGGGGAGGGCAGGGTCCTGTATAGAAGTGGAGGTGGGAGGCATCAGGGAGGGCCACAGAGAGGAGGGTCTCATGGTGGAGGAAACCACCTTCAAGGCCTTCATAAGCCTGCCCATGATATGGATCTCCAAGAGCTGACAGCCCAGGGCTGCTGGCACAGCCAGTGTCCACAGTAAGGTGAGACCAACTGTCCTAAATGGGACACAGGCAGGAGGTGGAAAATGAGAATGGAGAACAAACTCTACTGATTTGTCCCCACAGCCTGAAGGACTGCCCCAGTCTCAGTGCCCACACTGTGAAGACAGAGCACCCGAGAGCTAGCAGGAAAACATCCTTGCTCCATTCCTGGCTTAGCTGAAGGGCAGCTGCTGGCTGATCAGTCCCTGGTGAGTGATTCCATTATGCTGGGGAAAGCAGACAGGCAATGGTCAAAGGTAGATTCCCTGGACTGGGCAGGACACCTGGGCAGTCGATGTCCTTTCTAGCAGGGTTCTCCGTAGAGAGAAGCTTCCTTCTGTGAAGCTGTGCTACCTGTTCCGGTTCCCAAACAGAGAGCACCTGCATCTCTTCCTTTGGACATAGGTGGGCTGTACTTGGGGGTGGGGGAAGGGTAGGTCTGTCTTGAAAAGCAGAAGCCACAGAGATAGAAAGGCATCTTCCTGATTCTTCAGAGCTCAAGAAAACCCACCCTTTATCCCCGGAGACAGCCCACTCATCCCCTTCGTCCTACCTCTTGCCTGCTCCCAGCCAGCAGGAAGAGCGACGCTAGTGTAGGCCAGAATGCTTCAAAGCAGGTTTGCTGTGCCACCTCTCTCATAAAAGCCTCGCACCCCCAAACATCGCCGGTGCGTGCTTCGCCCCACCCATCTCACGTTCACGGCAGAGCGCCCTGTGCCGGTGGCGGCTGCCGCGCTGGCCTGGGCGGATCTCGGCTTTTCCTGGACTTAGGGTAGGTGAGGTTGGCCACGGTGGCAGAGATAGGGGCCTGTGCTCGGCAGTACCTGGACGCGGGGATGTCGCCGCGGCCCGGCCTACGGCCGCTGCAGTTATCTCTGGTCCCCGAAATTAGCACCGCCTCCTCTCCGGCCCGCGGCTCCGGCCCAGGCCGCGCACCTGCTGCAGCTGTAGCTGCCACCGCGCCTGAGCTTCGCGATGCGCCCGCGCCGTCAGGCACAGGGTCCGCGCTGCAGGGCCCTCAGTGGGCCGGAGGGGAACAGGGGCCGCGAAGGGCCAGAGGCTGGGCCTCCGGGGGCTTCCGGGGGCCTCCGGGATGTGCAAGCCCGGGAGCGCCGCCGAGCGCCCCCCGCGGACTGGGAGAGGGGGAGAGTAGCTTCGCCTCTCCCGCATCCTCAGCCGCATCCCGGTCCCCAGCAGCAGTCCGGTCCCTGGTGCCCGGCGGAGGCCTGCGAACCCCGCTTACCTAGATATGCGGCAGGTCCAGACAAGGGGCCCGAGGCTCCGGCAGTGCCCCCGCCGGGGCTCAGGATGCTCTGCCGGCTCCGCGCAGCCGGCCGCGCGCTCGGCCCCGCCCCCGCCCCGCCCTCCGCCCGCGCGGCTCCTCCTCCCCCCCGTGCCCGCCCCCTTCGCTTCTGTCACACAAAGAGCAGGAAATGGCTGCGGCTGGGGGCTCTCGGTGCGCCCCCCAGTGCGGCCGTAGCATCTAAGATTCGCAAGCACCTCGGGCTTGCAAGGCCGCTCGAGTCCCAGTCCCCCGGCTCTAGGGCAGCAAGTCGCCCTGGTCGGAAGGTGAAAAAGGGAGGGAGGGCTTACGACACAGCCTCCACCACCAGGGAACCACACCTGCAGCGGAAGGACCGAAGCTCCGGCCCTGTTAGATCTTCTTGGCCTCACATTATTTTCCAAGTGTCATTTATGTACCTAAACTTATTGATCGCCTATTTTGTTCCAAGCACCGCACTAGAACCTGGATGTTCCCTGGTGTACAAAACACAGGATCCCGGCCCTCTTGGAGCTTATTATCTACCAAGGGAGATGAGCATAAATAACCCTGCCAACATCCAGTTAAAACTGAGAAAAGTCTGTGAGGGGAGGGAGCAGGGTGAAGTGACAGAAGACGCAAGTGGGGGTGGGGTGGGGATAGGGACCCTCCACAAACTGAGACTGGCCTGCGGCTTCTTTACTCAAGAATAACTTCTACTCCCCTTCAGTTCCCTGGAACAGAATCCCTGAAGCGGCCATCTCTTTAGCAGTGGCCCGTCTCATCTTCATTCCAGGAAAAATTGCCCAATGGACACAGGGTGACAGGGAGCACTTCTCAGCCCAGCCCAGGGCTAGGAAGGAACTGAGTGGGACAGTGCCTTTCTCCTAAAGGGTTATCTGCCCATTTAGCGCTCTACCAAGAAACAATTCTCATTGAGATGCAGCCTGGGGCCTTCAGACCAGGCTAAAATCAGGCTGAACCAAATCTTTACCTGAGACAGCAGCAAATAACTTTACCCCTCCGCTCCTGGGAGGCCACCATATCGTAAGGTAGGCAATAATAGTTGCCCTTCTTACCTCACAGGGGAAATAATTTGAAACCATTTGAGACATTCTGAGGTGTATATAGATATAAGGGATAAAGTCTTGTTATAAGGGAAATTTTCCGAAATGGTTACCTAGGGCCCACACACTTATTATTAATGTATCCGTCCCTGTTAAGGGCTATTTATAGAGGAGCCACATTATTCAAGTCTCAGCAGAGGACTTGTGGAAGTCTTTGCCCTCACTGATTCACATCATTTCCCACATACTCAGAATTCAGGATCATTTGTTAGTTTCATGTTAAATCAGTCATTCCAATTCAAATTGCTATTTCATAAAATATGACTTTTATATACGCACACTTTATATGCATACGTTTCTGTTCCTGATGCTGTGTGAGAAGCTGTGGAGGTGTTTGTGGAGGATGGGTTTATAAATGGAACTAAAGTTTCTTTCTTTCTTTTTAATTTTTCATTTTCCACTGTGTTCTTAGGGATTTCACATGGCAGTGATTATAGTGCTTAACAATAGGAATGCCAATAAAAAAAACCTTTATTCTAAAGGGCATATTATTTTGAATATTAAAATTTTCTGGAGGACATCTTTCTCCCTGTCGTTACTTCCTTGTCTTTTAACCTTTGAGGAAAAAGTTGCTTCAAAACAAAAAAGACTATTACATACGTATTTGGTTAGATCTTAGGTAAGAATAATTCCCTGACCCCTGAATTGTATTTGCTTATAAGGCACAGCAATTTGAAGCCACTGTGTGGGAAATCCAGAAGCTTGCCTTTTGGTCCTAGTTTTGCAACTAACAGAAGAATGATCTTAGGCAAGTAACTTCACCTCTCTGTTTCCCCATCCATAACATGAAGTAGATTGAATACTCAACAATGTCCCCCCAAATGTGGAAAGTTACATGAGTTAAAACAAAGGGCACACCCCTCTCAGGCTTAAAGCATCTCATTAGCTCTCCATCCCCTCAGGATGAATTCCAAACTCTCTCTCATGGACTGCCATCTGTCTCTGAGGGCTCTTCTGCATGGATGAGCTTGCTATAGTTCAGCTAAAGGGAACCTCTTTTAGTTCCCCAAAGTTGATGTGTTCTCTCTTGTATTTGACCTTTACACAAGCCAGGCTTCTTGCATAGCATGCTCTGTTCCCCCATTCTTCTACCTTCTATGCTTTCTTCAAGTTTATTTGCCAAACTCCTGTTCATCTTTCTGTTATTCCCTTAGAGAGCACCTCCTCCATGTCTGGATTAGGTCAGGAGTAGTTGTCTATGTTCTCATAGCTCACTGGGCTTCCTCTGTCAGATAACTTATTATGCTGTGTTGTAATTGTCAAAACATGTGCCTACATCTCGCCATTAGACCCTAAAATCTAAGGGAGCAGGCATATATCTGTCTTTCTTTTCATTATATCCTAAGAGCCTGGTACTTGAACAGAGGTCAGGAAAAATGGGTTGAATGAATAATCAAAGGTGAAATCTTTACATTTTGCCATTGACATGTGTACCTATCAGGCTACTGCCTTCAGAGTTCCTTCCCATCCAAGCCCCGGCTGTACTACAAGCGATAAGGGGAAAGTGGCTAGCAAGCAAGAATTACTTTGGCACCCGCAAAGCTGTGGCCCATGCATTGTTCATGTGTGGCAACATAACCTTGTTTTTAGAAAAGCTTCAAATTGCTTAGAAAATCTACATCTCCATTTAAACAAATCTGGAGCATCACATTACTAGATTTCAAACTATACTATGAAGCTATAGTAACCAAAACTGTGTGATATTAGTAGATAAGAGAGACGTGGGTCAAGGGAACAGAACACAGATATAAAACCATCTGCCTACAGCTAGCTGACTTTTTTTCTGCAGTTTTTGGCCGGGGCTGGGTTTGAACCTGCCACCTCCGGCATATGGGGCCAGTGCCCTACCCCTTTTGAGCCACAGGTGCCGCCCATTTTTTTTTTTTACAGCTGAGAAAGAATTTATTCCATAAAGTGCTAAGCAGGGAGACAGGACACATTTCTCAAATCCACTTCACTGACAACTTGGGGGGACAGAGTTTTTAAAGACAGTTTGGTGGGCAGAGGATTAGGTGATAGGGTCTGCTAATTGGTTGGTTTCCAGCAGAATCAGCAGTCTTTCAGCCAGCTGATCTTTGACAAAGCAGATAACAATATATACTGGAGAGAAGAAGTCATATTCAATAAATGGTGCTAAGAAGACTGGATAGACACATGCAGAATGAAACAGGACCCTTATCTCTCACCACTTCAAAAATTTACTCAAGATAAAAGACTTAAGTATAAGGCATGAAATTGTAAGAATTCTAGAAGAAAATGTAGGAAAAACTCTTCTAGATATCAACCTAGGCAAAGAATTTATGATTAAGACCCCCAATGGCAATCATAGCAACATGAAAATAAATAAATGGGATTCAATTAAACTGAAAAGGTCTTACACAGTTGAGAAAACAATCAACAGAGCTAATAGATAACCTATAGAGTGGGAGAAAATATTTTCAAGTTATGCATCCAATAAAGAGCTACTAATCAGAATCTACAAAGAACTCAAGCAAATCAAAAGACATAAATAAAAGCTTTTCAAAAAAAGATAGACAACTCTATGTGCTATGAGCTTGCTATGTAGGCCAACACAAGAGTTAGCAGGAAAAGGAAACTTGATGAGTCAGTTACACAATTTGCATTGGTCATTATGTAGATAGAACCTGAACACTTGCTCAGAATTGCCTCACTTTACAGACGAAAGAATGGAGGCCCAGAAAGGGGAAGGGTTACCCAAGTCTGGTTCGTTGGACCCAGACTCCAGGTCTATCCTTAGAACACTGAGCTGCCTATCTTTTTTGGAATATGAAATAATTGGTTAAAGCACATACTTCAAACTGACATTTATTAGATGTTTATTTGGAACCAGCCTCTTGCTAGGTACTTTATATGGATGAGCTCATTTCATCCTTAAAAAATTCTAAAAAGTAGCAGTTATTTGTACATGGAAACTTAAGGACTGTTTCATGGTTGAAACTTTGCAGCTCTATCCCAGACCACTTGGAAATGCATACCTTCCATTCTCCGCTGTGTTTCTCTCACTTTGCTCATTTCCCACAACTTCTTAAGACCTAGCCTCAATTGAAGGTGAGATCTTTTACGCAAAACTTGACAGTAAAGAACATTTCATCTTCATTTAAATGAATATGACTTACAATAATTTTAGGTAAGAACTGATAAAGAGGGTCAGGGCATATTCCAAACTGGATTTGGAATGCAACCATGTAGCTGTCAGTGGATCAGTGCTGCTGTATTCCCCGAGGGTAGCATAGGGTTCCCTATATTCAGCTCCAGAATGGCTGGAAGCATTGGAACTTGGGGACAGGCGGTTTTGTCTTATCTTGCCACTTAGTAATTGTGGGACCATGAGTGATATGTCTGATTTACTGAGCTCTATTCTCTTCACCAGTAAAACTGAGATGATAATAATGGTACCTATCTTGTAGGTTCTTGTGATGATTAAATGAAATAATAAATGCAGCACACTAATCACACATAATAAGTGCTTCTGTTGCTTTTGTGATGGCATAACAAATGCTAAAAAAATTGAGCTGTCAATTATTATTTAACATGGTTCAAATTTCCATGTAATCCCTAGGAAGAATACAGGACTTGGAATGAGATCTCAGTTCTAATCTCACTTGTGTTAAATAGCCCCTCAATCCCAGGGGTATCAGTTAACCTCTCTGTGTGTTGAGATCCCT